GAGTTGCCGAGCATCAAGGTGACAAATGAGCTTCTGGAGGGCAGCAAGGAACATCAGCAAGCTATTGGATCACCAACGACATTAGGAGGGACGTCACCTAGACCACACTCTGCGACTTCATCGGAAGGTAGGGCGACCGTTTCATATGTCATGAAATTCGTACTTCGATGGGGATGTCATGGTGTTTGGGACTGGTATTGCTGCTTATCAGATACAATGTGCTGATACAAGTTTTTATTTACAGATAATGGGTATTTTACAAGTCCAAAGAAGTCTCCAATAAAACTCATTCGAAATGGAGTGGCCAAAGAAAATGGAAGCGACACAGCATCTGCAAGATCTTCTACTGCTATTGACCCTCTATCACATGTATGTGACCCCGGATTCACTCTTTTTGATACTTTCTGCGAACAGCCATGCCAGCTTGGGGTCCACACTTGCTGACCGGGCACGTAGCATATTATGAAGCGTACGAATACCGAGAACAATATGCCCCAAAAACTTCGAAATGCCCCTCCTACCCCGGGAAATACTCTTCCAGAACTTGCGGAGCCAGGGAGTCCTGACACAGGTTCACCTGGCAGGCAAGCGACCCCGGAGATTTGCAGCGACATTAATCTGGTGAAAGACAAGAAGTAAGTCTACATTTGATACATCGGAAATAGAGAGCCTTGCTTGCATGCAAGACTTACATACTGTGCCCTCGCAGTTGCTTATTTTGACGGAAGTCAGCCAGTGATCATCTTTGTGATAGCTAATCAACGAAATCATACAGGAAAGGAGTCTCGTTTCTGAATCGTTTCAATATATTAGGGGGGAAGAAGAATGGGGAGCCAGAGATGGACGACGACGAGTCAGAACTGGGCGATCCACGCACTGAAGGCATGAATGCTCATGTATTTTCCTCGTCGATAGGTGCGAATGGTTATATTCCGAAACATAAGGAGCCACCTCGATATATCAAAGTTCGAGCCAACCATAAGAAGGTAATGGAGTTTAATCGCATGTTTCTAGCCCAAGAATTAAGCGGCACAAAAACTCTGTCAAAGGACGAGAAAGCACAAAGTCCGACAAATTCAGAACACCCTAATAAGTTATCGAAACCACCAAGGTCGAGCGGCGCGGTGTGGGCTGCCGAGTTTAGCAAAGATGGGAAATATTTCGCTGCGGCGGGGAAGGATCGTGTGGTTCGAGTTTGGGCAGTAATATCGACCGCAGAGGAGCGGCGAGCGCATGAATGTGACGAAGACGGCGAAAAGCTGAGCGCTCCTGTCTTCAAATCTAAGCCGATACAGGAATTTGAGGGCCATACTTTGGATGTTCTGGATCTTAGCTGGAGCAAAAACAATTTCCTACTGTCGTCTTCAATGGACAAGACCGTACGATTATGGCATATAAGCAGGCCGGAGTGTCTGTGCACTTTCAATCACAAGGACTTTGTTACGTCGATAGCATTTCACCCGCGCGACGATCGCTTTTTCTTGGCTGGGTCGCTAGATTCAATTCTTCGGCTTTGGAGTATCCCCGACAAAAGTGTTGCATTTTGGAATCAATTACCGGGTCTCATAACGGCTGTGGCTTTTAGCCCAGATGGCAAGACCGCCATAGCTGGCGTTTTTAGTGGGATCTGCTTATTCTACGAGACCGAAGGCTTGAAGTACCACACTCAAATTCATGTCCGATCGTCACGAGGAAAAAATGCAAAAGGAAGCAAAATCACCGGCATTCGTACGATTGTATATCCTCCCAATGATCCGGAAGGTGAAATAAAAGTTTTGATAACTTCCAATGATTCTCGAGTTCGAATGTACAATCTTCGAGATAAAGCCCTAGAGATGAAATTCAGAAGCCATGAAAATGGCTACAGTCAAATCACTGCACAATTCAGCGATGACGCAAAATACGTTATATGTGGTAGTGAGGATCACAAAGCTTACATATGGTCCCTTGGAGTCGCGAATAATGAGAGCAAGGATAAAAGACCTTGCGAATTTTTTGAAGCGCATTCCGAGGTTGTCACGGCCGCTGTGATGGCACCTACGAAATCTAGAATACTTCTCAGTGGCTCCGGAGATCCTCTTTACGACCTGTGCAACCCACCACCGGTGACTCTACTGAGTAGAGAAGAATCGAATCTTCCCTTGACACCTCGTGCAACTAGTGAGACAGGAAACCGCGATTCTGGGACTGCTTCCGTTGAAGATATCCCAGAACCTCAATGCAAAAAGCCCGAGGAGTCACCCGCTTATCTTTCTAGGTCTAATCACAACGATGGCAATATTATAGTAACTGCAGATTTCCTTGGTCGTATAAAGGTATTTCGACAAGACTGCGCCTATCAAAAACGACGTAACGACCAATGGGAAACCTCATCTCAATTTTCCAAGAAGATGCTTGCCCGAAGTAGCAGCATAATGACACGTCAAAGCGGTGGATCCCAATCACGCCGAACCTCCATCTCCCAGAGTTCTATTTCGGGTCCAGTCACGCAATCTGATAATAACATCCTTGACTGGCGCAAGACTATTGCCCACGAACGGCCCAAAACCTCCAATTCGCACACCAAATCTCTTTTTGGCAATCGCGGCGACCGCAGCGTCTCACCCGGCAAATTCAATCGTACCTCTTACTCCTCATCCTCCGCCGCCAACATCGCAAGTGCCACCCGTCAACTCCAATACGGTAGTGTTGTACCCACAACTATAACGACGATAAGTGGCGGTCATGGTCCCGCCTCCATCGTTACAAGTAGCCCTCCTCAATCGATTTTCAAATCCCAATCACCCCAGCTTCTCCCAAGTCAACCGCCGGCCCCATCTTTCAAACTGAATCCTGCATCACCTCCCCCTCCATTGTACAACGGAGATAGCCCTCCCAACGCGCTCAAATTAGACGCCGCTGGGAAGTCTCATCAATTTTGGAACATTGCACATTGGAAAAATAACTTGACCGCGGACCAAAATATGAACAAATTAGGCCCAGAGCTCCTCCGACCAGGCACCTCATCTCGTGGAAACAGCATAGTCTCTAAATTAAGCACTGACGCGAACTCTGACCTAACAGATGGGGATCAGGATGTAGAAGGCGAGGCTAGCGATGGCAGTAATCAGATGGTTGCGTGTAGGAGATGCGGGGGAAAGGACTTTAGAGCTAAGAAAGTTGGGGCAGGCGTAGGCAGGGCACAGAAATTGGTGTGTGCAAAATGTGGAACAGTGGGTGAGTGACCGAGCAAGCGAGTTTGGGAAATTCGAGGTTCGTAAATGGGAGAGAGTGACAGCACACAGGAGGAGGAGAAAGAGGGAGAATAGGTTGTGAGAACTGAGAGGCAAACACTTCATTCAATATATTACATAGTAAGGCCGCAAGCATTGGATTGAAGCGGATTGGATCGATTGGATCGAAAAGCGAGTGATTGATTGTATAGCATTTCTGAGCATAGCATAGCATTTGGGGTTTGGGATCGGTGTTTAGATACCTCTATTATATTTTAGTCCTGCATAGATGAGATAGACAGTGTAAATATGGATACAGTATATATATTATCATTTTCATCCGACACATGTGTTACCTAGGTATGTAGTGAATATAAAGTAAGACTTACAAATACTAGTACTGGTACCAGGACTTCAATATCCAAACCCAAATCCATGGTATATCACTTATTTGCATACATACTCGCCTCATAAATTAATTCACTTATTCATCAAGTTCACTAACCTACTTGGTATGGGCTCGGGTAAAGACTACAGTTTTATAAAAATGGGTAGATACTTGACTACAAAAGGAAGGCCGTTCAACAAAGGGGACCCTTGCCTGTAGCCCGTCCACTTTACTTCTACGAGTATATACTAGGTACATATTTATTTCCTGTACTCGAGTAACTTGATTCATAAATGATAGGATTGTTTCCATCTCCTCATATTATTATTATTATATTCTTCGGAGCTTTCTTTTGTTTCTACTGTATCTATCTCCACCCGTCCACACGCTAGGTAGATCTATAGATTATATAGTAATACCCCAGTTATTGGATATGGAGTCTGGACGGACTTTTGCGAATACTGGTACCGTCCACTTACTGATGTACTTCTTCAATTGGAGAATGGAAGAATGGATGGATGGGTTCATGGAAGATTTTGGAAGATTTTGTTTTGTTTTGTTTCATATACTCGAGTACAACTTTTGGTTTGTGTGTTGGATTCTGGAATTCTGAATTCTGTAGTGTGCACTACTGAGTCCTCAAATCTAAGATGTCTCCAACCCGCACCAAATCATCAGATTGATTCATTAGAGTACCGTGTGTAATTTTTAATTTTACATATCAAAGTTTCCACCCCGTCCACCCACGAGGCGAGGACGCGAACTGCCCCTCTATTTTCCCATGGCGGCATTCAGTACCGGTACGTACCTACGGGTCCTACATCTCATCTAGCATTATAATTTGCAAGCTTTTCGTCAGGTATTCTATATTCTATTGATCCAGCGATTCTAGTCAGGTCCAACCGTGAACCGTCGTCCAACTTGGAGGTGGAATTATATTATGGAAGTTGTCCCTGCTTTCTAGGTTCTAACTTCTAACTTCTAACTTCTAACCATACGGTTATTTGCATCCGCCGATCGAATGGGGAAATAAAGTATCACAGCACTGAGCAGTCAGAGCAGTGACTTTGACACCCTGTTAGCAGTATTAGTACGGAAATTTGTGTCGGCCTAGTTCATAATGCAGATACCGGTATCTGTGCTTGGGTCTTATGAAGTTATGATGGAACTTGGAAGGTGGAAGAAAGGAAGGTGGCAGTTCAGGACCCCATTTTTGGAGCTGCGGCTTGCAGGGTTGTAGAGGTATAATTTACAATCTAATCGATCAGATGGTGGACGGATGGCTGGGCCGGCTTTTGATGTTTGAAGACCGGAGTATGATGATGATGATGATTGGGATGGCTAGTGACTTGACTTGATTATAATGTTATATTGTTATAGATGACTGGTGAGATATCATAGCTCTTAAGATCTGAGATCACATTTGAGTAATTCGGGTATGTAACTTATATAACTATCTAATCATCTGAAATACAAAAGCTTCAACCACTCTACCTTGAATCATCTGATCAGTCAATTGGATATCATCAATACGGTATTCTGAAGTTCATTTACATCATATAGCATCTCCAGTATTCAAGTGGAGTGTGTATGGGTCTAATCCGATGTGACGGTACCCTTGAAAAACCTTCGATTGTTCTTCTAGTATGGTGCACCGTTGCACATATTTCATCGGGGGTATCTCTTAGACAGTATATGAGGACCGAGTCAGAGTGGATGGATCACGTTTTTTTTGCCCATATATACATGATCCAAATTCCCTTGCGGTCTGTCATTTGTACCCTCACCTCCAACGCACATTCTTTTATCATCTTCATCATGCGCACCTCTACTTTGACCTCCTCAGTTCTTGCTGTTGGACTTGCATCCGCCAATCGTATTGCTGCCCGTGACAATAGCTCGGTCTGGGTAACAGAAGTGCCCGATTATGTCCGTCCCTACGCAATCGCGCACTATGATGCATCGGGCTGCGTGATTGGCAACCAGGTTTACCGTTTCCCGGTGACGGGCCCATCTTCAGGGTATGCCTTTTCTCTGCTCGCGACAAACGCGCCAGGGTCAACTGATTTGGGAGTACTTCCTCATATTCATGAAAAGCACTACGAGAACTTCTTCAATCTCAAAGGTCGCTATCAGCTTTGGACTGGGAAGGATGGAGACGAGGAGACAAGAGTCTTGACCGCAGGGGATTACGGAAGTGTACCAATTAACACAACGCATACTTTCCAAGTTCTCGATCCGGACACCGAGATCGTCGGAATTATCCAACCTGGAGGATTTGAGTAGGTTGCCCAGACATGACAAGTTGTAATTACAACTAGACAGGAAACTGACAGCATCGATTAGAGAACTGTTCTACGCTCTCGCAGACTCCAATTGGACCTCAGCTTCCTCGGGGACCCAGCCCCCTTACGATCCTCTCATCGTCGTCAATGGCAGTAGCTCTCCCCCTGCTTCCGTCCTTAACGCCCTTGAGTCATTCGACGTCTATGCTCAATTTGACTTCGTGCCCCGTAGGGACGCCGTGAATGGTACTGCACCAACAAACACGACTTGGCACACGGGTACAAACAAACTCGGCGCTCAAGGCTCTCCATACTACGTCGCCAAGGACTTTGGACCAAAGTACATCAACGATGCCGCCGGTTACCAGATCATTCAGCCATTCGTTACGCCAGTGCAATCCGGTGGCGACTTCTCTTTGTCAACCATCACGCTCGACCGCAAGTTGTCCAACATCACTATCCCAACATCACAATTCACCGGCCATGCGGCTTTCGAAATTATTGAGGGTATGGTGACGGTTGAGTTGCAGGGCGAGACGTTGTCGCTCATTCAGGGCGACGTTGTCTTCATTCCCGGAAACACGACATACAAGTACTATAGTACTGTTAACTTCTCGAAGTTCTTGTTCATTGGTGCTGGAGCCGAAGCAATGGACACTCAGCTCATCGCTAATGGTGCTTCGTGGTCATCTCCAGTTTGGCCTACGTATGCTTAAGCATTTCGTGGTGAGCTTCTTGAGCTAGCTAAGATTCAATTCATAATAAACAATACAAAATACTTGATACTTCGTATTCATTTGTGTCAACGATACCTCCATCCAAATGGAAGCGTTCTAGCCCATAACATAACATCCGCCTAGACCTTTGGATCACAAAAAGCCTAGAGACCTAATGGGAAAATGGAACTTGTGATCATTGGCCACATAACAAACAGTGGAGATATTTATAGAAGACGACGCGCAAGCATACTTCGTTTTCTAACACTAGCACAATGCATATGTAACAAGAAAGCCTTGGAGTAACCTCGGAATTGTCATCGTTATCGAGTTTTTCGAGGATTTTGTGCTTATTCTTTGCCTCATGACTTGTCGAGCCACAATTAACAAAAAGAAAATGGAAGAAAAGCTGGCTAATTGCCGCACATCGTAATCACCTAAGCGAGCCGAGCCACATTATCCATGCAGTAGCTAATCGGTTTTGAGTTAATCAGCCCCTTTCAAATATCATGCACGTTCATGCACGGAAAATCGGCGAGAGAGCAAGAGCGAGCTACTTGCATCTTTTCAGGAAATCTGTTTCGGACCCCTCAAAATACGAGATGCTCATCATCATCATTGCTTCACGGGGGTATGGGGTGACAATGATCTGCATTCTAGGGGTAGGTAAGAAGGAAGTAATGAGCCGGCATATATAAATGAATCCCGTTGTCTGCGTTTACTCTCTCTTTCTGATATACTTCACTAATCGATCATCTGCGAATTAACCTCATCAAAAGCTTTCCAATCATACCTCCTTTTACAATCGAATCAACTCTTTAATCGTCGATACTACCACGAACAATATCCTCAACATGCGTTACCAAGTTCTTCAAATCATCGCCCTTCTTTCCCTCGGTGCATCCGCACAAGATCTCGGAAATATCGTCGGCTCGCTAACCTCGGATATTGGAGGAGCAGCCAATACAGCAACATCGGCAATTGGTGGAGCAGTTGATACTGTTACGTCTGGCGCTGGTGGAGTTTTATCTACCGTTACGTCTGGCGCTGGTGGAGTTCTTTCAACCGTTACGTCTGGCGCCGGTGGAGTTCTATCAACCGTTACATCTGACGCAGGTGGAGCTCTATCAACCGTTACGTCTGGCGCCGGTGGAGTTCTATCAACCGTTACATCTGACGCAGGTGGAGCTCTATCAACCGTCACATCTGCAGCCGCATCCAGACTTTCGAGCATCGAAAGTGAAGCCAGCAGCGGCGTGGCCAGTATTACATCTGACGCAGGCGGAGTTCTTACAACAGCGACTTCAGCTTTATCCAGTATCACATCTGCTGCGGCATCCAAATATTCGAGCATCGAAAGTAAAGCCAGCAGCGAAATTGCGAGCTTAAGCTCGGTGGCCAAGACCGCTACCGATAGCGCGGTTAAGAGCTCAATCAGCGCGGCAATAGGCAGTATTAGCAGTGATGTGGCTAGTGCATCATCGGTCGTATCGAGTGCAACTAGTAGGGCTAGCAGCGATGTCAATGCTGCCACTAGCAGTGCCGCTAGTGCTACATCCAGCTCGGGAGCTATGAGAACCTCGGTACCAATTGCTGGAGGTGCTATTTTGGGTGCGGCTTTATACTTGTTGTAGATGGAGGATATATTCCGGGGAAGAATATCAATACTTTACGTTCGGTAGTGTTAAAGAGTATTTGATATAGCGTTGATTTGTTGTACAATACACACATGTCGTTTCATGAATACATTGGCGGGTTCTATATATCTAGTCCTAGAACATATTTCTCAGTTGCTGATAGAAGGGTTAATTTCGAAAATCATACATACACATATTGAAGACCAAACCCCTATTCATGAATTGAAGTGTTTAAAACTAAAGTAACCTTGAGATAAAAGATTCGCAGAGCATTATTATTCCAATTCTCATACTCAAAAATGACCCTTCTTAAACAGCTCGGGCCTTGAGGTGAAACCCGATAATTCTTTTTTCCCATAACAAACTCCTTGTTCAATATCTATCAGCTGGTGCTCCCGGTGAGCTCCCGATGACATTTTTGCTTTGGCCCGCTATTGAAAATTCAAACAGTTTATTTTCCAGTATACATTTATTTACAACCCCATGTTACCACTACAACGAGATATTAGTATAGTCTCATATTCCAATCTCCTGAATCATTCGCATGCGATTTGATTGTCGTCTAGGTATGAGAAGAAAATATATCATAATTATGCCAGTGGTTTGCAGGTATAATGATGATTGATGTTGGGGTACTTGTCTGTCGGTGTTTGGGGTCTGAAACCTGAAATCCTTCGGTTATTGGGGAGCAATATTAATGGACAATGCCATGCTGGAAGATCTCGAGAGTGGATGTAACTCTGAGCTGTGCCGTTCACAATACTCAGGCTGTTGTTATGTGTCTATCGAATTTGTCTTTTCATGAGTTGACCATGATTACCTGGCTTGAGAGCAGTTCGGAAGACCTGAATATTCGAATCCGAACTCTATTATGGAACATATTACCATCCCATTAGTATCGGATAAGATATCATGAATTGTTAAGTCGCCATCAGATGATCAAGGAAGGTATCTCGCCGGAAAAGTATAAATGAGAAGTTTGCAATGTTGGAACATGCAGTGGAACACAGCTTCCCAATAATGTTGTGTATCAGAAAAACTCAAATCAGTCTTGTAAGAAACAATCAATGCTGGGTTGGGACATGGCTGAGGAAACCCATAACCACACAAAGCACAATCGTTTTGGAATTAATTCGAACGCCATGTCGAAACGAGCCGCATTTAGAAGGAGAATTCTTTGAAGACACATAACTTCTTTTTCGTGGAAGGATTTCATGTGCAGCGAACACGCCTCATCAGTCCATTTCGAACTTGCAGACGGACGTTCAACAAAAGGGAGGTATGACCAGGTCTGTAATATGTGATGATGGGGGCGGAGCTCCTTCGAGGTTGTGACCGTAGAGGGCACTCAGTGATAGGAGCAGTTGGGATCGGGATTCCTTCAATGGTATATTTTTGACAAGGCTCTTAAGGAGGAAATTTTCTTTGGAAAGAGTAGAAGTAAGTTTAGATGCAGGCGCAAATTGTGCTACAAGTTTCGAGGCTCAGTAGTTTCATCCTCCCGTTTTTTAAATACCATCGTTCTCGAATCAAATATTTATAAGTTCAGGGATTTCCATAGTTGGGATGAATCTTTTCTTCTATTCAGTTCAAAGCAACCAAAAGACCTTGTTCGGCAAACTCCAATCAAATTATCCATCATTCGCAAAAATCTTGTTCTACAAACTCAACTCAAGACCAATCATGCATTTCCCAAGCGCACTCACACTCCTCTCATTCTTCGCTACCACCACACTCGCTGATCTGGGATCAATCATTGCTGATGGAACATCCCTCGCCGGAGAAGCATCCGGCGCCGTAAACACCATCACATCCGACTACGCTCAAGCCCACGCAACCCAAAACGCACTTTCCACAGCCCTATCCTCTCTATCCTCCATCACATCCGTCGCCGCCACAGCCACCGGCTCTCCACAATCCTCACTCATATCTGAAGCATCCTCGCTCTCCCAAGCCGCCTCTTCCATCTCCAAATCGCTCTCCAAGTCCATCATTCAAGCCTCCGCATCTAGCGCTTCCTCCCAGAGTTCCCAATCGAAAGCGGCGACATCGGCTCAGGCCCAAGCTACTAGCCTGAGCGCGGAAATTAGCAGTTTGGAAAGCGTGGCCAGTACGGCGACGGGAAAGGCTCAAAGTGAGGCGTTGGAGAGTGCTAGTAGCTTGAGCTCGAAATTCACAAGCGTGGCTAGTGTTGCTGGTGTGGCGGCTAGTGCTACGGCGGCGGCGGCTAAGGGAGATGCTTCTGAGAACTTTGTCCCGGTTTGGGGTGCTATGATTGTGGGGGCTGTGGGATTGTTGATTTAGATGTCAGGATTTTTGGCGGGAAATCGAGGATGTGTTAGGTTAATGTGGTTATGTTAACTTTGGAAGTTTTGTAAGCAAAGAAATATTAGGAATAGATCGAGTTTGATTTCACTTTAAATATTTTCAATAGTTTTTTGTGACGCAAGAATCTGTTTAGCTTTCATTCCATTTACCTACGCTATTTCTAGGCTGACATCTCTGGTGGTGATTATTACCATATGGTTCACATCAATTGAACATTTCCCGAATGACCGCCACTCTCTCTTCCTAAAATCGGAAGTTGAATTTCCTATAGCATGCCTCCCTCATTCTGTGTTTCGTTCAAGATTTTTCTGCCTCAACTGCAAAGCACATTCTGCCCCGACGATTGTCTTGGGGAGGCTCAGTGTTGATGGTATACAATCGCCTCTATTCGTAGTATTATCGTGCTTCATTGCTGACGAAGGAATGGGTCTCCATTGGAGATGAATCGATAGGTCTACAATGATGATAATTGATATCATGATGAAGTTGAGAGCACTGGGATTACAATGCAAGTTCTTCGCGAAAGTGTAGGTAGGGATGGGAATATAGGTAGGCAATGGACTTTTTTTTATTGAATACAGTTCTCGTCTCGTCATGTTCAGATGGTAATAAAGATTATTTGTGAAAGAGTCCAAGATATCTAATTATCATCTCGACAATTTCAGATGAGATTAGTTAACATCTGAGATATCTTCGGATATTTGTGGGCACTCATCCCAGAAGACTAGTTTATAGTTAAACAGTTTTCAGAAACACATTGTCTATCGAGTGGTCGAGTGATCATAGACCCAAGTACCGTGGTGATAGTGGCTCAAAGTTTCAGTCATTTTAGCTGCTGGAGACTATTCTTCTATGTATTCTCTCCGTGATGTTTTTGAGTGAAGAAGGAGCTATTGCTGGTAGGATTATTCTTCTTTCCAGTGTTTGCCTTGGGAGCAGCCTTCTTTTTTTGCTCGATTGGAGGAAGTGAATAACTCACTAGTGGTTTTGGATGTGAAGTGAATATTGACAGATGGTTGGGACGAGAAGAAGTAGGCAATTACATAAATCACTCTTACAAGAGGTATTGGAATTCATTAGAATGAAAAGATTATATGGATAGAGAGGGCTAGGCTCATTACTTTGAAAATAGCTATATCGCTACTCCTATACTCCTATACTTATATCTGAAGAATATATCAAATCCCAATATATAGTAAAATTATATCATAGTAGAAAGAGTATAACGAAATTAGAAAAGCATAATACGATCAAGATAATAATTATAGTCACGAACGAAAATCTATAAAATTCCAAAGATATCTCTTGATATATATTCTATATTCCATTAATTACAATAACCACCAGCATATACAATAATAATAATACTGGTATAACCGCCACTCACCCCTGTATCTTTATATTCACCAATAAACACATATCCCCTCGCATACAACCATAAGACTGACAGAGAGACCTGCGGCTTGTCCGCTCTACTATCCTCAAGCTCCAGATCGATGAATTAGTAGCTGGGTGGGTGACCACCAGCGAAGACTCATTGTTGACATGCCCACTTTATCTTTTTTTGGAGATTCTTTTTGGTATGGTTAGACCTAGTCTGGTCTAGTGCTTAAATGGACCCACATGGGTTATGTGATTTCTAATGATTGGTCCACCGGAATCAATTTTTGGAAAAGAATTTGACATTTATTGTGTTTTGGATCGTATAGAGTTGAGGTTTGATTAGATTTCAAATTGTATTTTATTAATACTATATAGTTCTGTTTATACTCTAGCTGTTTAAAATGAAATCAAAGAGATATATAAACCAAAAAATAAAAGTTTAAATAAAAGAGATTAGAGAATACTTTAACAATAGATTTTAAAGATATGTAGTGAAGAGCCCATTTGGACGAGTAAAGTAATAGTGGAGTGTATATAACCTCTCTAGCACTGCTGGCAGAGTAAACGCCAAAACCAAACCCAAAACGGAACCCAAATCCTTCTATACTTTCCTCCGTACCCCCAAATCATTCCGACAGCCTACGCTGATATAACTAACCTCTCTTATAACTCGCCATATATCGAATACCAGAGTGTTGCCCATTTCCATTCGTTCAATCATATCTATCTCATGCTCATGGAACGTGCGTTTAGATCCTGCAAGCTAGATCCTCCAAGAGGAAGGTGCGACTTCTCTCTTTGTTGCCTCCATCCAACATTCGTTAAAAACTTCGCGGGATGATGTACATTGAAAAGGATCAGCACCGGAAGCATCGATACAGCTTCAAAGACATAGAAATTCCATTCATGAGTCGAGAGATAACCGTCGAAGTCGGTTGTGAACTCGACCATTCGGTATATTGAACGAGCCTGTGTATTTATTAGTACTCAACTTCGGCATGCTTGAATGAAGGGGAATTGGTAAAGAAACATACAAAAATTAAAACGCTCGCAACGTTGATCGCCATCAGCAATTTCCTCCATTGAGTATCAGGCCACGAACTCTGGAATCTTTTGGAAACGATATGGAATCTTAGAGAAACGACCAAAAAGAACCCAAAACAAGCGAGTTGGATAGCCAAGCCGACTTTCATGACACTGTAGCCGCGATTGACGGTTTTGGGATCTTTAGAGGTGGCCGAGGTGGCGCCGAAAACTTGGATCAGAAAGGCGATGACATCGCACGTTACGAAGATGGGTGTCATCCAGCGGGGTAGTACCCAGAGTGTCTTGATGTTGCGGGAGGAGGAGGGGGTTGCATGGACGATCACTCGGCCCTGGTTGGTGTTAGCTTGCTTATGTGTGTGGAGATGCCATTAACATGATGGAGAGGGAAAGTATAGACCATTGCCATGTAGCAAGATGCAGCCATAAGAGCAGGCGCGAGAAAAAAGAGGACAAATTGGATGATATAGGCATCTACGTCCGTCAGCAAGGTCGATGTTCATTTGGGAAGTCTTGACCCACTTCTATTATCGGTGTTGTATGTAGAGACAACTCGACCTATATATCCCACGGATTCCACTGTTGAGTTTCAGTAAGATTGAGGTCGATACATCTTCAGAGAGAATAGTGAAACTTACTGGCTGCTGCCAAAACCGTGAATATCCAAAACCAACTTTTGAGCAATATGTATTGAAATAGTGTATAAATGAAAGTGCATGTGTAGAATATGGCGAAAGCAATCGCTGCTCCTTTTGATGGATCGTACACGTAGTAACTGGCAGCTGTGAAATGGGAGTGTAAGTTTGTGAGAATCAGTCTTGCCTTAAAAATACGTACTCTCGGCGGCCATCTTGACGACAAAAGTTCCGAGGTACCAGATACAAAATGAGAAGGGTCGTGGTTCTCTTGAATGTGATAATATAACGGCTTCGAGATACTCAAATCTAACTTGGATGTTGAGAAGCCATCGTATGGAAAGTATTCAGCAGTAACGAGTGACTACATTTTGGATACAAAAATGGAAGAAATCAAAGCGATACAGTAAATCAGTAGGGAGAATCTGATAAAAAGATGATAGAGACAGAATGGGAGGATAAGATATTAAACTTCCGATCATCCCAAGGCTGAATCCATGCCGGAGCAAGGCTATAAAGTGCCCCCACGTAGGCATGTCATTATACATCTATCAACGAAGAGAACAGCATGGTTCGCACTGTACGAGTTACCATTCCATTCGAACACAGCCTCCCCCATCCAGCGTTGACGCGTCCGTCTACGTTACCCCTTCGGGAAAGAGATGAAATCAATCTCGTATCTAGCGAGATCCCATATAACAAGCACATTCGGGAAGGCTCCCGAGAAGCTTCATTTGTTTCGCAACCAGCATCGACTTCTAGAACCGTTAGGAAGGTGTCAAAAGAAGCATTTGGGCGTGTAAGCAAGCACTGTAACGGCCAATAAGGCTGACGTTACGAAAGACTCCGCCCCTTTGGTAATCTCATTCTTCGCGTACACGAGGGAAGGGGGAATCGGACCCTTCAAACGGACTTTCGGGAGCGGACCATGGTAATGATTCGAAACCCACCTTCAACTCGCGTTGTTGTTACTACGGGAAAGTAGACCGATTCCTCGATCATAAACTTATAACTTATAAGAAATGAATTTTTTTCACATTTGTAGCAAATCAAGCTCGAATCCCCCATCTCAAGTGCTTATCGCCTATCGTTGAAAAGCCGCACTTAGTTTATCTCCGCGACAGGACGGATAAATGTGATTCTTGATTGGTTGTATTGTAGTTGTACTGATTTCGGTAAAGAAGTAAATGGATTCGGCTAGGCTATGCCAAGAGAAGCTGATGCTAACTTTATACATACTGTACTGTATTGCGACAAGGTCCGTACAAGACAGGGTCCATACAAGCTACTGTAACCGAGAAGAAAAGTTGTATTTTGCATCTCATCTGTGTCCACTGTCTGTTGAGATTCGAGATATAGTAGACTGTAGATAGTCGGGACAATTGATCTACAGTACTAGACCACTGATAATTTGCCTATCCGGGTTTTACACCAAAGCTCATCATTAATAATCATAAATATAAAATCAATGAAATAATATTTTTATAGATATTATTATATATTATTGAAACGTTTCATTGAATATCTAATAAATATTAATTAGATATTTTTTGAGAATTTTATTGATTATATAATTATTCATCAAAATATAAGAAGTTCAAAATCTATAGATTTACTAGTTAAATAAGTGAAAATCAAGAACTTTTAAATTTTTTTTTCAATTATATATATATCTATATTAGAATCATTTGAATAATTGAAATTATTTTAAATAGATTTATTAATATATTCTTAATATATATATATAAAATTTCATTTGATTAAAATCATTTTATATAAGGAATATTTATTATTAAAAATATAGTAAAATGCCTATTTTTGGTGTGTTTTTTGCAAAGGCAAATTATCAGTGCATGGTTACTGTAGCTTCGCTGATCTCATCCAATTTTAAGGGTGAGATTATCAATCATATCGTCAACGGGATTCCCAGGATATCTTAGATAAACTGCGCGGATCCACAATGCACAGTACCTCGTACCGATGAAGGATCTCATACAGAATATATTCATCGCACCTCAAAGCATATGCCGGTAGGCAATACGAATAGGGCAAGACCAAGGAGATACTAGTACCTGATAGACATCTTGAGATATTGCAGTACTTGATAGGCAAGAGTCCTTGATATCAGTTAGGCCACAGGACTTCTGTGAGGAGTGCCGACGGTCCGGTCGATGTTGGGGTTGTGGTGAGTTTTTGAAGCTACCGTGAATTAAAAATGCGTCATGGGTTTTACTCAAATGGGCGTACAATTAATCACCGCACGGAAGCAACTATTCCTATTGAATAAACAGCATTCGCCTTTTGTTGAAAAACACCAAAGACAACCTTGAACTTGTGTTCGATTCCTCGGAGTATATGTATTAGATATGAGATTGGACGATTGAAATTTGGCAACGACAAATTTACATCTGCATATTTCTCATCAGGAAATAACCTCTTGCTACGTCATATTTTATTGCATTCTGGTCTATGTGTTCAACCTCCTATCCCGAGAGAAAAGCCAACTTTTAAACACCAAGCTATGCCGCCAATAACGCAATTGGAATATGACCACTTGCCACATATATGGTACATAGCAACCAACACTTTAGACAGGTAAATCGACCCCTATTCAACTGTACAATCTGCTTCCGAGTGTGGCTCTCTACTAATTTATCTGCGCCTCTACGCCTCTACGCATATGCAGCCCAACCTAAGGGGTTTCGTTAGAAATCCGTTCCAAAAAAATAAACTCGCTACGCCAGACGAAGAGAAAGGAGAGACGAAAGAGAAGGGACGAGAACATACCTGAATACAAAACCGCTAAATTCCTCTCATCACCCGCTTGATTGATCAAATCATTAACAGTAGCTTCCACACTCAAAGTCTTTGATAACTTCTTGTTAACCACCGTCAACGCTTTATCGGCTTCACTTGGCTGATTGACTGCTTGTTTCCCAGCATCTCTCTCGTGTACCATTCCAGGTTCCGGCGCTACACTCTGCGCTGTCTGCAATTTTGCAAGCCGCACCGGTGATATGGACCAACTGTACAACGGATCATATCGTAGAACGTCAAGAATCGTCATAATACTATAGACTTCCTTACGTAAAGCAGACAGAGTGAACTCGCAGCATCGTCGAAATACACCTTCGGTTTTAGTAATGCCCATTCCGTCGACGATATCGCGAGTGAGACGGAAAGGTACTAATTCGGGGACTGGAAGAACCCGACCCATTTCAAAAGCCACACCAAGATCAATATGTACTACTTCACCGCTCTCGAAATCGAGGAGAATGTTGTGTCCATGTCTATCCCCTAATCCGAGAATGTGGCCTAGAATCGATATAGCAGCTGTGCTGCGAGTGTATGCTAGACGTTTGGTGAACCATTCATCGGGATCGTTGAAGTGCTCTGTGAAGAAGTAATGCATCACGGGATGGAAACGCTCGGTGACCGATCTGAATTTCTTGACTCGTGCTTCCGTTGGCTGACCTTGAACATCCCCAATCTCTTTACGACATTGATTTCCTTTCAGGTCTTTTGGATAGAAGCGCTCATGTGCTGGCATGAGATACTCATGCAAGGGGATTGTGCTTGGCACGAATTCGATAACACCAGCTATAGAGGTTAATGGTAGAACCTTGTAGGTTCTGATGCTGAGGTTTCTTTGCCGAGTAGCTCTGTTCGTTTTTAAGAGTTCGCTGACCTGAGCGAATACCTGTTCCATGATGGCGTCTTGGCGCAGATCATCATTACCGCCTTTTACCTAAAAGATGTTAGCTGTAATGTTGGATGTTGGATGTCCGCTACACTGGGGTTCATACCAGTTGTTTAAATCGCGCCCCGTTGTCCGCCACAGCAGTGATGATCTTTGGTGCACTTACTCCAGATGCTATACTCATCTGTGACTCAAATCTGACCATTTTTGGTACCTTCGAATAATTCTTATCTGCACGAAGATCTATTTGCATTGTCGGAGGCGGTATTGAGTGCTTCCCCACCGCTTTGTTGAGCTTTGCACCCGCAGGTGAATCTTTAACAATTGAAAGTTTCTTACCAGTTTTGTACTTCTGATCATCTTTCTCGCCTGCGAGCTGAGTATATGGCTGTATGACGGCACCCAACGCAGCCCAAATTACCTGTGAGTTCTCGGCTCTCCTGAGTTGCTCTGAAACCTTGAGGGTGGCTTTATTTCTTGAAACAGCTATTTCATCTTTGACATTTGGCCGACTGTGAGACCCGGCATATATCTGATACATCCCATGATACGGATGATCCGTGCAGATACGTAGAACCAAATTGAAGAGAAGCTGCTGGAATTTCGAATCGTTATCAAGTAAACGAGAACTGAGCTGGTTCATCAGCGTGGCGAATTTGCGACTAGGCACTTTAAGCACAACTTTGGCGACAGCTTCATTGGCGAAATTCTCCACAGAATGCTCAAGCCAAAGTGCCGTAAAACGAAGCGCGTTACTATCATGATTATCCGAGGCACCCAAAGCGAGAAGGTAATTTTCCAAGCATTGGCGCAAAAACTCATCCCTGCTGGAGCAATGGCGGCGATACTCACGCTCGTCTAGTCCAAGCCATGTCTTGGCCTTTTTCAGATAACCGGTATGTTTTGCTCTCTCTGCTGAAGAGGTTGACTTTCTCAAAAGTTCTTCGTAGTCGGTGACATCACCGGATCTCATCTCGCTCAACTTTTTCATTCGCTCCAAATCTTCCAAGCTGTCAGGATCCTGTAATTGTTGATCACAAAATACGGCGAATTGATGGAAGACCTTCGCAGCTTCATTGCCATCGGAAGTTTTTAAGTCTTTGAGGGCTGGTTTGAGATACTTCTCAATTATCCGATCGGGCTTTTCGAGTCTGGCTTCAGAGATTTGGTGACCAATCTTCGATAGAAGATCAGGACGACCAACAGGTATTGTCTGCGTTTTCAAAAAGGATGCATTATCCAAAGCCCGTAACATGCCTATCGAAGATGTCATTTCACCTTGCTCCCACAACGCGTCCGCGGTTTCCATATGAACTGCAGCTTCAATGTACAAGTCAAGGGACTGGCATGGTTTGATAAGATCAATCAACGAAGTTGCAAGAGATAGAGATTCTTGTAGAGCTCCGTGAGCACGATTGAGGGATGAAGCCATAAGTGCAGCATGTACCTCTACTAGTCTCGTATCTTGAGAAGAAAGATTGAGTATGTCTCGAAGGCGTGGTTGCTGGCTCAGAGTACTTAAAGTTGTTCCCCTACAAGAAATCAGCTGGCTTATATCGTCAAACCTACTTTCGTGTTAGTCATGATTATGATAGACCTTGATAAGTACTTACCTCCCCGTCTTCATCCATTCGGATCGTTTCTGAAATCTTGACAAAATATCTTCAAACTCTTGGGACCCTTGTGAGCTAAGCACTTCGTCCATCTCGGAAAGGGCCGCCAAAGTTCTAAGTGATTCGTGAAGGGCACTGGCGCTAAGGTCATCTCGCACGAGGCGTTCCATTGTACCCTCAAGTCCTTCATTGATTGCGTTCATGAATGTTCCACGATTCGTAGCAACATGAGCTGCTTGGAAAGCTTTGTATATCGTCACCGAGTGATTATCGCTGGTAGGGACTGGAATGTCCCATTGCTCCAGTTTACGGGCGGTACGAAACATAGAATCCAATGATTGGCCAGCTATTCCATAGTTCTGCTGTGTTTGCAATAGAGAGTGAGAAAGACCACTCAAGCTGAGCATGTCTAGTGCCTTGACAAGAGACTGTGCGTCCTGAGCGGCTCGAGGGTCCTGCCACTTAACGTGGTTATCGTATTGTGCACCCCTGAAAGCAAGGTGTTTAGGCCCATCTCTCTCATACTCCAGTCTTGCTAATATCGTGCTTAAGCTGGCTGTCTGTTGCACTCCATAATATAGATCCGGGTCATCAATGTTCTCAAAAATTGCGAGAAGCAAATCTGTGGGTATCTCGGGAGCCTCACCGCCGTCTTTCACCATTGAAGAACGTCGAGATGATTTGACTGGGATCGATTGGTGTTCTTCGACAAATATTAGAGCCGTTTTAAACATTCCGCAATGTATGGCGGCTGTAGCGACTTTGATGTAGTCGAGATCTAACCAATGCAAACGATCCGCCGAAGACTTCTCGTGGGGTAGAGGTTGAGTGCGTAAATATAGAATCGAGTTGATAAGAGTTTTCAGGCTATTCTTTTCGACGGATTGACTCTTGGAAAACCACACCGCAAATGCACTAGAGATTTGGTTACGATTGTTCTTCTGTGCCGGAAAATCCGTGGAGAGCACAAGGTGAAGAATGAACGGGAACGCTTGATCGGCAAAGTCCGGTACATCCCTAAGAACTGGTGCTAAGGCGCACAGTATAGGGTCTTGAGGGACAGCTCTAACCAATGCAATGGAGAGATCACATAGCCAATTAAGAGAAAGTATGGAATCTGCATCGAGATGATTCCTTAAGCTATCTACATCTGCAGGTTTTGCGATCTCACATGGCGGAACAGGATAAGGATTCCACACTGACGCCTCGAACACTGGTGGTGATAGACTTTGACGACTCATTTCCAAAACCTGCCCGTCCGAAGTTGTGACAATGATACGTAAAGCCGTTTCGGCAGTCCCCGCTGCTGAAAGATCATCCCCTAAGATTAATGATTGCAGAAGACTCAATATACATGCCCTTGATGGAAGGTTCCCTTTGTATGATGTCTTCAATTCCTTCATGTTCGACAATGTGGATTCTTGCAGAAGCTCGTGGTGCACATGGCCAGTAGCTGCGAAGGCTCTTCCGAGTACCCGCGCGGCCCAAGACATATATTGTTTATTCGAAGAATTTCTTCTGCAGGATTTCCATACGACAGCAGCCCTTGCTTCGGCAGCTGCATCTTCACCATATATATCGGTCCTGAAGGAGGTGGGACATTTGAATTCCGAGCACAGCATGCTGAGTGCGAGCTTTCGAGCAGGTAGGGTTAGTAAAGAGCCCCCGTTCTTTTCATCCTCCAGTAGCTGGTCCAGTAGTGTGCTTTCAGTTGTCCCTCTTTCAGCATTCCCGATTGTTCGAACCTCCCGAGCAGAGGCCACGAGAGATTTGAAACTTGAACTCAAAGATCCTACTAAAACAGGAGATTCATACTGAGAAGCATATTCTCCAACCCAGAGATGAAACTTCTGAGCCTTAGACATTGTAGCTTGGTGTTGACTCTCCTGGGTTGTGCTAGATCTGCTCTCTTGCATGAATACACGCAAAGACCCTAGTATCGAAAGAGTAATACTTGCAACAAAAGATGGGGATAATTTTAGATATTCTGAGCCCTGACCTAACAAATATTGCGAGATACCGATAGCATCATCTGCGCATTCGGGGTCCTTGATAAAAGGCCTTACAGATCGAAGAAGCATTTCTAGAGGATAACCCCGAGTTACAGAGTTTCCAGCAAGCGAGATCAGAACACGAAGCTTCCGCAACACAGAGCAAGCATGCAGCGATCCAAGTGCAGGGTGGATAGTCTTAAGTAACTTTCTGGCGATGAAGGCTACTAAGCTTGGAGTGTATAAACTACCTGCCTCATGTACTGTCCTTGCGCACAAATACTTGATTTCATGTGAGAGGTATTTTGCTTTGAATGCAGGTTGCTGATTTGCAGGCAAAGTAATCTCGGACGAGCTCAGATTTTTGATTTTCCCCATGATGTTCGCGGCGTGTACTAAGCTCTCATCCTTAGCAAATGATCTTTCGACATGCTGCTCCTGGTCTATGATGTTGAACAGGGTAGCTAATATGTCTGTAAAATGCAGATTGACACATTCCAAGAACAGTTTTTGACCGAGGCGCTTTTTCAGTCGAGTCTCACCACTTATGTGTTTCTTGTCACTCGAAGAAGGCGGTATGCTTATATCGTTGGCAATACAGTATGCCATAACTTTCGCGAAGCATCTCTGGAGTAGTTGGACTGTGGGAACTTTTAGCAGCTCAGCGAGGTGGTCCAGCTGGGTATCATGACCTCGCATCATCATAAGGGCGGACGCCTCTTCCTCGGCGAATACTAATAAGTCGCTGAGAGCAGCGAAGCCAAAAATTTGATATGGTATATCGTCAATCGTCTCTGTTTCAAACCACGTGTAGAGAATCTGAGGCGCAAACAATGCAAACAATTCTCGAGGACTTTGTACTGCGAGTGCAGAAGTAACATTGGATAAGCACCGAGTTGCATGCCGAACAGAACCCGAAATCCTACCCGGTGTTTCAAAAATATGATAGATACATCTTCGCAGAAGAGTTGACCAACGGGAAGCTAGTTTTGCTAGGACATAAAGTCGAAACGCGATTCCTTCCAAGAATTCTGGGTCAGAAGGTAGAAGCCCAAGCACATCCACAAATATATCATCATGCTCTTTCAATGTGGAGAGCTCAAATATTTCCGAGAGCTGATCACCAATGAAGAACTTGGTAGGAGCATTACCCTTTCCGAGAAGCTCCAACAGGCTTGTACGCGGTGATGACCGAGAAGGTGAATTTCCATAATTCTGGTTCGCTCGCAAAAGTTTTCGTAGCAAATTGACAATCTCTAGCTGCACAACTGTAGAAGCGGTGCCTTTTTGGATTCGTGAAATAAACCAATCATAAAGTTGCTTGGCGTGATTTCCGAACGGGTTCTGCATTTCCACTGACCAGATAGGTAACAGTCCTGTCAATACGTCCAAGCATGCACACATGGCAATTTCGCTGGACATGAAATCGGCTGATGACAGAATAAGCCCCACACGCTGGAGAAGGCGATAGGCATCTGCTTCGTCAAGAAAGAGATCAGATTGAAGCACGTTGCGCATGAGTGGACGGCACGAGAGTATCTCCTCATGCTTCATAGAGACTAGCTCATCGATGAACGAAGTTGGCACCGTGCAACGTTCAGGGCACTCGTGCATATCAGCGGCTAGCATGAGTCGGCCTATTGTATCTAGATAAAAAGATGAATAACTCATCTCCAGTGCCATGGCTCGCCTGGGGATGTTCGACTTTTGCGCTTCTATTGCCAATTGACTCCTATGGGTGGAAAATTCATCATCAATATCCATAGGATCATCATAAAGTGCCGAGATTGACTCTGGCGCTAGGCGGCGACGCTTGATCTCTCCCGCGACAAGACTTAAGAATTGCAACAACTGAGAATTCTGCTCCGCGACGTGCCTAAATTGAGTGAAGTCGCAAGGGGGGAGATGAGGTTGGATTGTTTGCAGAAGAGTGTCGATGAACTCTTGGGTGGCCTGAAAATCCTTGGCATCGGATCTTCTCAAAAATTCGAGCAACTCATCACCCAAGCATCGGAGGTCTTCCCCTAAAAGATATAACTGCTCTAAATTGGCATTGGCAAAATTAGGTAGTAGGAGGAGACCAGTGATACATGTATTCAGTGAGCCTCGATACATATCAGTGGAAACCTGCGGAGAACGCTCCGTATTAAAGCTTCTCCAAATCTGTAGAAGCTCGCTACATTTGGACATCAGAAATTCGAGTATCAGTTTTCGGGTAGAGTTGAAGTGAGCACTATCTAATTGGAAAATCACATCATAATCAGCAGTAGACTTCGGACAGGATCGGCACACGAAATCTGCTTCGACGGGTGCACCGCCGTCAAGTAGCAGGAGATAACGAAGAACTTTTTCAACGTCCAAGTATTGTTGCCATGCCTGAGACAGCACACCTCCTCCTATATGACGACTATTTGAGTATACAGGCAATCTTGGTAGGCCAAGGCTCGTCCGCAACAATGCAACGAAGTAAGAAGGGCGTAAGTGATTTCCGTATCGAGCATTGAATAATCTATCAGCTTGAGATGTGTCAGTTTATCATTTAACATGACACAATGGCTTTCGTACCTGGATTCCATCTTCCAAAAACCCAACGAATCACGTGCTGGCACGCTGCCAGGCTCGCTCCAGGAGCTTCACTAACGGTAACCTGTAATAAGTGGTTGACCAGGAAGATCGACGAGTCGCAGAGGACTGGCGGGCCACTGATGTCAGCTGCGGTGATGATTGCGCTCACACTGTCTTCGATATCACGATAATCTATCAGATGTTTGGCGTGAATTGCATGGAGCGCTAGAGCAGCGGCGCGACAAGTCCCCGCAAAAGTGAGCGCTTTAGCTCCGCTATGCCAGAGCTGTTTCCAATCTATTAAGGATTCCTCTGCAGCACATGCCTGATATGTACAGCTGTGACTCAATTGTCAGTCATGACAGTTTAAGAACAACATAGTACTGACCTTGCTATACCAAGTAGAGCCCATGACGCAATGTTACTACTACGCTTGTCTAATGCACACTTCCCCAAATGATCCAGCAACTCCTTCAGAGAAGAAGTTGAGAGTTTACAATCTTGCAGTAAGAATGGTATTAGTTGCAAACCGGCCAACCGTATCTTCTGATCGTCAGACTTAAGAGGATCGAGTAACCTTTCAGATGACTGAGAAATGCGTTGACGCTTTCGTGGGTAAATATCCGACTCGTCTCCCAGTTTAGGTTTCACTTGATGAATGTGCTCTTTGAGTCTCACTAATCGTTCTAGGATGGCCATGGAGAGTAGATTTGCCCAGTTACGTTCAGCCATGCGAGTGCGTTCAGCCATGCGATTGTGGTGAGATCTTAGTCGGAAACAATGTAGACGAAAAGGATCGCAGCCCACCTGTCTGGAACTCAAATCTAAGATTTCCAAATCGTCTAATTGGAGCTGATCACGGTCTGCGCGTCTAGAATAATCTGATTTTAAGGCGTCAAGTAAATCGTTCAAATTGCTGTGCAGCTCGACATCCGTATCACTCATGATGTTGCTCTCCAGGTGTAGATGAATGTGGTAAAGACTTATCAACATTTCATCTCGCACACAGTTGAGCATCTCGTCGTTTGCTCTACCTGGCCAAAGCTGGCATATCAAAGGAAGCAAATCTCGACCAATTGCAAACGAATGGGATGTACGATCTTCACGGAAAAATGACAAAACGATATTAAGAACTGAGAATGTTACCTGATGTAGCTTGCTTACGACCTGATGTAGCTTGCTTACGTTCAAATTCTCCTGGTACTGTAGCAAGCGCATCATTATGGCGGCCACTCGTTCAAGAGCTGGGAATGAAGGATTGTTGGTAGTAGAAAGAAGTGAGAAGATAATTTGGCAGAAAATTTCTACATTTTGCCTGGATACCGAATTAGATATCTTTGGCATACTTCCCATCCCGGAGGAAGATTTAGGCAGTGATGGATGGTCAAATCCATAGCCAGATTCTGAAATATCGCCGTCAGTATCTCCCAGGTACAATTCGATACCACCGAGAGAAAATTCGATAAGTTCAGTCCGAACATCCTTTAGAAGACCTTGTGCAATCGCTGGTTGCTCGAGAAAAGGGCCCAGTGCCTTGAGATAGTCAGCTGCTATCGGATGATCGTAGCCCCCAGTCGACGTAAGAATCGTATCAATAATGTGAGCAATTATAGCGTTTATGGTCTTCTTCTTCAATTTGTATAATACCCCAGCCTGCATGATAAAACATATGACATTGTCACAAAGCTCTACCTTATTGGCCGACTGTTTTTTGGATGCCGAATGTTTTTTGAATTTGGCAGAGACATGATGTTTTCGTTTCTCCTCAACGACAATCTTGAACAGATTCTTGAACAGAGTCTCGAATATTTCGCGGTAACGTTGGTCGTCAAGTTGATCCCTAATGTCTAGATTAGCACAAAACCTTCAAATCTGAATGGATATCTGACGTACACATTATCAGCCTTGTGGGGACCATGAAAAATGTCTTTTAGATCTAATTCCTGTCAGTTAGCAACTGTAAGTCTGCCAAGTAGATCCATGACTTAGACCAGATAGATTTACCTGTCAGAGGACTCGAATTTCGTTTCCCACTATTCAGGATTTCTGAGATTTGTTCATTACTAAGAATCTGCTCCAACTTCTTCACTATATCTGAATATGATGGCGACATATTGGGAAACCGTGATCACACTGATCTCGACGCATTCCTAACTTGGAGCTCTCACAGCTGTTGGGGATATGTAGGGCCTGTAATTGACGGTAATCTGAGGGGGGTCCAAAGGCCTTCTGAGTTCAGTAAAAAATGTATCAAAAGGTAGGCAAATCAAGCATCTTCGCATTTTTTAGGTTTACAGAAGTCGGCAGCACCGTAGAACTATAACATTGTGCGATTCGTAAGTGGTTGACCACCTTAACTTATAAATTATTTCGGTGGTCGGCCTTTGGCGACGCGATTTTTCGTGTGCAGGGACAGCTTCAAAAATAGCATCGCTTGTCCGTCAAATAATTTTCTGTGTGACCGCATAAAGTCCAAACTACCACTTACGGCATCTGCGACACAGGAACAATCACAATTGCCATGAAAGGAATCCGAACATATCCTTTTCAATTTTCATGAGTTTTATGCCAGATTAAGTTCCTGTCTCCAAAGCCTCGGCGCATCCTTCCCAACCATGGCAGAGCAGTCCAGTACCTTGAATGAAATCCAGGCCTTGCATTCGGACCTTCTTGCGCTGTCAAATTCTCGCCTTTCGAACCTTGAAAGATTGGCTATTGAGCTCGAAGCTCATATTGCAGCTTTTCGCAATCTCCTGGACCAGAAGAACCGGAATGAACAAAGTAGGAAGAGTATTGAAGCGGGTGTGTACTTTCCTATGCCCTCGAAGTATCCACGGCAAGGACTCAATATTAACATAATGATTATAGGAAATGTCAAGCGATATGGGCAGATATATCAGATCAACGACGATTTCAAGCAGGGAACCTTTCAGCTAGCGGACGAACTAAATCTTGATGAAGTTGAAGCATCTCAAATCTTCTTCGACGCACAAGACGATGCCGATGCGACAGGGCGCTCAATATTGTCCTGCTCCATAATTCGCTTTCATCAGCGACGAAAGCTTTTGTTGGATTGTTTGCGTCTCACGCTCCAGCAAAATGCTGAATTGGAGGGCAATTCGGAGCAGGAGCAGGAACTTAAGCTTTATCTGGGACAAATCATCACAGAATCGATCCGCAGTCAACCGACAACTACACCTGAAACTACGACAAGTAATACACCAACTTTTATTTCAAAATGCATTTCTGCCATGGGTGAAATCAGGCAGTGGCTCCAAAAAATTTCCGACAAAGTTAGTAGTGCATCTGTATTGGGACAACCATCGCAACCAGATCTTTTGCAAATCATGGAGTATCAGCGTCACAGTCTGATCAAGCAACATGAGTTACTAGGCGTTATCGTACTCTATCTAGTGAAAGCAAACCATTCTGTTGTGGGAGATTTTGAGCTACTCTTGGGGATTTTGAAGAAAGCGGACAAATATGATAATCTTTTGGGTAAGCATTCTTTAGTTTTGTAACTGTGACCAAACCTACGACGAGTTGTCTACAATTTTACAGCACGACGCTTTTCGACTAACAAATCATCACAGTGCATCATTTTCCAGCGTTGGCTGCTTGCATTTGGCGCTTTGGTTCTCCAGAGGGTGGGTCAACGATACAAGATGCAAGAGCGCTGGATAGGAAAGTTAACGTCAAAACCGACCAAAATGCATGGGTATTGCCTTATGCTCATGCCGCATTTCGAGCGTGGTGGTTAGCAGAGTATAGCGGTTGGTATGTGGAACACCATGATGGATTACCACATGGTATTAACCTCGAAGAAGGTTAGCTAAAGTCCATACATCTTCCATTTCTCCAACTCACTAACGAAACATCAGAGGCCAAGCAGCGTTCTCAGCAGTTTAACGAAGCTCTAAAAGATGGTGCTTTCGATTTCTTGTTGTCTCTTTCTGCTGATGTTAAAGCCGCAAGTTGGTCAGAACCTTCACGCCAAGGCTTCCGGTTATGGCTACAGAGAAAGGCTCCCCAGCTCTTGTCGGATTCGGTCTCGTTCTCCGATTTTTTCGAAGACCAATTCATGGAGCAGCTGCAGACATTCATCGAAAGTTTCATAACAAATTTACCGGACGTCTTAAGGAGGTTAAGGATCGATGAGGATGAGCAACGTCAACTCAGTCATGAGCATGAGCACGATCTAGATCTGGAGCGATTCATAGTCATCATTGCTTATGCCTTTGACGGCCGTCCAAAGGCTGCTTTGGACGGATTTTGGGACGTTCCAGATGGTGTATTAGTCGGGTTCATGTACTGGGCTTCTCGACGTGCCTCAACTCCACTGGTCTCGGCATTTTGCGAAATGCTCCAGGCAATTTCAGGCGATGATGATTGTGCCACTGCTGCACACGAATTTTTGCTCGATGAAAGTCCTCAAGCCGGGAAAATGAAGCGGGCTCATGCACTCACATGGAATCAAATTTTCAAAGAGCTAACATTTTTCACGAATAAACTTCGCGACCAACCAGTACCACAAGCTCAGGCCTATCGTCATGGGAAGCCAAATCATGATCAAGCAGAACTGGAGCCAGAATCTTACATTATGCTCGAGTCTTATCTCCGTCTCATATCTCAACTCTGTTCACATAGTGCTATTGCTAGACAATTTTTGATGCAGCATCCCTCGTATCAACTTACAGATCTGCTTTTCCAACTTGCAGCTAGCTCGATTCCATCTCGATTTAGAGCTTGTGCTTTCACGGCACTGCGGTCTTTGCTAAGTAAAAAGACAAAGCCAGCAGCCGAGTATTTGTGGACAGCCCTCGATATATGGATTTCTGGGGGGTATGCCCATCATGTCAGCACTCAAAGAAATGCAGCCCCCCAATCTTACGCACCTGACACAATTCTCCGCAAGTTTGGTACGGGTTTCGAAGAACCCGATGCGTTCATAATGCTACTCCATGCTCTTGTATTACCTTACGAGGAGGATAGTGCTTTGCGAGATGGCTTACCATTTCCTGAACTCCTCGGAGCTTCTAGTCGTATGCCCGGAATAGATCCGTACGTTGATTTCGCCGTCGGCCAGATTTTTGGTTCCAGAATGAGTGAAATAATAGATCCTATACAGCTGAGATTGCTGCAGTTGAGTTGTCTTACTTTCATCACGACTTGTCTAGAAACTTTTAACGAAGATCTCGTGATATTTGCAAATCGCTCCAACATCTCTGTCGACACTGCTATCAGAACGTCTGATCTACAAACTTATGTCTTGTTGCATCCATTTTCCAGGGTAATGGAATGGATGTACAACTCCAGCGTGATGGATGCGATATTTGCTGCAATCCATCAAGACGTTAACGAAGTTGCCAGTGCTGCTCCTGACTCACCATCAATTATGTGTCTGCTGCAAGGAATACGTGCAGTTACGCTGATCATGGATTTGCAGCCAACTTATCGAGATATCGTTCGACCTCTGATCAAAGGTCAAGCAAGTCATCGCCGCACTCCTGTCCCCAATGCCGCGTACGCGTCTTTCGAGGATGGAGTGCTCAATCACTTGACTATCATTCCTGATTTGGGCTTATACTGTAGCTCGGGTAATCCTGAATTGGTGATAGCGTCCTTAAGATTACTGGAAAAGCTCTCCGCCTCGCCACGCCTCGCCCCTGCTCCTAAAGCAGGTAGCAGAATGATTGATCGTAACAAAGCAATTGCTGCATTGGAGGAAAATAATGCAGCGGAAGCTATCTCACGGTCACTGCTACAAGAGATAGAGGCTAGTCTCGACGAAACGCAAGGCCAAACATCCGATTCATATATCATTAAAGTTCAAATATTGGACTTTCTTATTGCTTGTCTCGAGGCTTGCCCAGGTCAGACTACAATAGCGCACTTACTTCTTGGGTTTCAGTGCAGAGATAACCATATAGAGGTTGATGTGGATTCTCTTTTCAGCCGTCGAATTTCACTATTCCATTCAATATTGACGCTAGCTAACGACATGTCTCTGGAGGGCGATGGAAGTGTTTCATCATGGCTAGTCTCTTTGAGATATAAATGCCTACGGCTGCTTAAGCAGCTATGGCACTCACCCCTTTCATCCAGTCTTGTCATGATAGAGATGCGGTCTAATAATTCGTTTTTTGAAATGTTCATTAGACAAACTCTGATTAGGCCGGGCCTGTTGTGGAATGGCCGAGATCTCGCAGATCCGGAATTCTTGGATTCCACTTCCGCCTCCTGCCTCTCGGACTTTTTAAAACAACGCGCTAGTGTCTTGCAATACACATCTGCTGAGTTACGCCAGATAGCACTAAGTCATTTGCCTTCTTTAAAGGAGCGGATGTTTAACACGTTACTTGGGTCAACAATGGTAGAAGAGGGTCGGCAAATTGATAATTGCTCCGTTTTCGATCTTTTCGACTTCATGGATATTCCTTTAGATCAATCAATAGCCCTTGGCCCACTGCATTGGTTCAAAGATATCGATGTCAGCGTTTGTGAGGAAGTACACAACGATTGCCCTCCATTGTTCAACATGATAAAATTCGAGGAGCTTCTAACTTTACGAAAGTCTGAGCTCGTGGCGACGAAGAGATTTGAAAATCCTCAAGACATGACTGCGTTCAATCACGAAGCCCAGATCATGTTTAACTACTACTTTATCGACAACAAGTTGAAGGAACTCAAAGCAGCTCGACATAAGGCGCTGCAGTCTTGGGTTCAGTTATTACTTTTGATGATAGAGACCATGGCTTACGATGAGTCGACCAAAATAGTTTTCGTATTGCAGACTTTACAAATAATACTCCCTAGACTAGAAAACTGTCTGGAGAATGCAGCTGATGCGTTGGAGCTAGCTAAACTTACCAAGGCGCTCTTATTTAGTTTGGATCTAGATTCAGATACTTTCAAAGAAGGTGATATAGGACAAAATCTAAGCGATAAACTCTTTTATGTTTTCGAATTGTCGCTCAGAGCTATCAATACCGTCGGCGCTAACGGCCCCCTAAAAGAACTCTTTTATAGCGTCAGCTATCGCTATCTTGCAGGAACGTCAGAGACTGAAGTTCCCGTTAGTCCTGAAACAGACAATCACAACGGTCTCAACGGCGGCACTCGCCGTGCCGGCCAGGGCAATCGAGGTCCTACTCCTATTCCTGGATTACGCAAACCGCATAGTACACAGACAGTTAAAATGGCAGGTGATCGATTAATAGATATAGTCTGTGACGATGCCTTAGTCGGAGAACATAATTGCAGAATTGCGGCATTGCTACTTCTTGGAGCTTTGGTGAGAATGGCTAAACAGGAAGACTCCCCTTACATCATTGAGTCTCTCAATCGTCTGAACTTCATAAGCATCCTCGTTCACTCCATCGGGGATTTGGCAAATGCTTTACGAGAGTCGTCACGCGAAGGTGAAAACATATTCCAGGTTGAAGCTGAATATATACTAACTTGATATAGATGCAACTATAATTCTATCCGACTTCTATGCAAGACTGGCACTCCTTGTTCACATATCACAAATTCGCTCCGGGGCTACCGCTGTACTAAATGCGGGCCTCTTTCATTCCATTTTGGTTTCAGGGCTATTTGCCCTCGATACCGACCTCGAGATCGGTAAGTTATTCGTTTCATGGGACATTTCAATGCACATGCTGATTCGTGTTAGATTTTAATGACTCAGAGGCTGTTAGCAGGCATTATAGCTTACTTGCAGCAATCATGAGAGTCATTTGCTGTGCTCTCGTAACTCGTGGCCAAAAGAATGAGCAGAGTTTGGAACAAGGGAGGAGATTTCTCGTCGACAACAAAGCTGCTATCCTAGCTGTACTTAAAAGATCTGCCGGGCTTGGGATTGGGAACGATGTTGCAGAGCAGAGCATCGTTGACATATCGGACTCATTCATGTTTCTCATGACTATAACTCACTTTGTCGATGTAAGTGATGATTCCATTGATCCTATTGCTTATAAGATTTCGACTTCTGACAAGATTATTAGTTCGAGGAGACAATTATTCAAAAACGACCCACTCTGAGATCATTTACTTGAGAGAATGAGTTTGGATTAGATATTTTGTGTATTAATTCAAGAAGGAAAGATGACTTGGTGCTCGTGTATAGAGTTTAGAATGCCAAACATCATGAATTGATTAAATGCTATGATATTCAACTTACATACTCGAGTATACTTCATATACTTCATATACTTCATATATATATACTTGATACACTTTATACCTATAGCTACCCTAACCTGTTCATATAGATCTTTATTAATCCTAAATAGCCAACTACAATTTATTTATCCGAATTAAAAAGTAGATAACAGTATTGGCTTTTATCGCCGTTATCGCCTATCGCGTTCCCTCCCCTGTTTAATAAACGCATCCTGTACCGATCTATAGCATGCATATGTTCTGTTCCGTGTAACTTTCCCAATTCTAATTCCCCTCATGTAACATCCACGGGAATACCAATCTACAAGAAAAACAGGATAGATATATCCGTCTTCAATATACTATCAACATTAATGTTGTGACCCCTCACAACAAATCGAAAGGCGAAACCATATTCTTCGTGCTCCCCTCACTTCGATGTGGCCTTCACACGATCGTGCAGTTGATAACTCCTCGACTTCCTCCAAATCTCCTGCCAAAAGAAAGCATCGCGATCCCCGAAGTCTAAACAGCAACCCAACGAATACGTCTTGCGATACATCTAAGGTTGATAGTCCTTCGACGAAAAAGTTAAGGACATCGCAATCATCAACCAATCCTAATATGAATAAAACGATTAGGGTCTCGCGCCCAGGGACAATAGATTTGACAAGGCCTTCCAATTTCCAACCACATACTGGAGCGAAAGGATTGGTGATTAAGAACCTGAGAACAACTTCTCCAAACGACAGGGAGCAGTATTTCCAGAAAACCTGGGACGAGCTAGATGATGCTTTGGCATTAGTCTTTAGCAACAAACAGCCAGTATCACCATTGGAAGTTTTGTAAGCTCAATCAGTTCTTTCATATCATCTTTCCAATGTCGAACTCTCTTTGGATGTTTATCTTCTGCATCTTCTCCCTAATATAGCTGCCATTCCCCATTCCCCATTTCCTCTGGAAGATCTTCTTATTGTTCAACTCTGTTTGGAGTTTCATTTTCTCTGATAGGCAATTACTGACGCCCCGGGTGTTGCAGGTGTCGTGGAGTCGAAGCAATTTGTCGACGTGGAAAAGAACAGGCAGATCAGCTATACAGACATGTAGAAAAACGTTGTCACACACATATCAAGGATGGCCTCTTACCAGCTATTATACGCAATAGAGGTTTTAGCTCAGTGGAAACCCTGCGGACTGTAGAGAGAATATGGGGAATATGGAGAACTCAGCTGGTAGGATTGTTGCAATCGCACACTTACCAATCTATGGGATCACTACTGACAATGGAGTTAGATTCTGCTAAGATCCATATTCAGCTATCTTGATAGATCGTATCTGCTGAACTCGAAGACACTCCCGCAACTCGAAGATATGGGCATACGTCAATTTCGTGAAATAGTGTACATGAAGGGAAAGGAGATTAGCAAAACTGGAGCACAGGCAATACTAGGGATATGCGATCTTGTAAAATATGATAGAGAAGGCCTGACTTTGTTCGATCCAGTCCTTCTCCGAGCTTCGATTGCCACAATTCACATCCTCGGTATATATACAGATCTTTTCGAGCAACGGTTTCAGGAGATTTCTTCAGCCTACCTCGAACACTTTGCCACGGAACGGAGCTCCTCGCCACTGAGAGAATATATCTCCTCTTGTGATAATCTATTGCGACGAGAAAGTCTCCGTTGCGATACATATAATTTCGATAGCACTACCAAGAAAACACTACTCGATACTGCACACGAGATTTTGATCAGCAAACGCGCGGATGTCCTGCTGGAAACGGTAGCTGTGTCCAAGCTTTTAGAAGGCGAAGCAATGGCATCACTGAAATCTTTGTATGAACTTTTGAGACTTTCGAAGATCCAGGCACAGCTCAAGAAACCCTTCGCCAATTATATAAAAGTTGTTGGGTCGTCTATTGTAATGGATAAGGAAAGGGGCGATGAAATGGTTGTTCGTCTACTCGAGCTGAAGCGGTCACTGGATATTGTCATCCGAGATGCCTTCGACAAAGATGGCACGTTTACTTTCTGTCTTCGGGATGCATTTGGACAATTTATAAATGAGCGCCAAGTTGCTAAAGCATGGGGTACAGAGACTTCTAAAGTTGGAGAAATGATTGCGAAATACATGGATCTATTACTGCGTGGGGGGCTCAAAGCTGTGCCTCGTTCTCTGGTATCCGATTCCACAGATCGAAATGAGGCTGAGAAGAAAGGACATGCCAGTACCGGTGACGAGGATGCAGAATTGGACCGCCAACTGGAACAAGGTCTCGAGCTATTCCGCTTCATCGAAGGTAAAGATGTATTTGAAGCATTTTACAAAAGGGATCTGGCACGTCGCTTGTTGATGGCACGTAGTGCAAGTCAGGATGCTGAGAGGAGTATGCTTACCAAATTAAGGGGCGAATGTGGTAACAGCTTCACTCATAACCTCGACTCGATGTTTAAGGATCAAGAAATTTCTCGAGATGAGATGATTTCATATAAGCAGTCACTCAGTAACACAAGTAAGACCACTTTGGATCTTCAAGTTAGTGTCCTCTCATCTGCTGCTTGGCCAACTTATCCAGACATCGAAGTCAGCCTTCCCGCGGAGGTTGCGAGACATATTGAAAAGTATGACCGGCATTATAAGCATAAACACAGTGGGCGACGATTGACTTGGCAACATTCTCTTGCACACAGCATTGTCAAGGCCAATTTTAACAAGGGTGTAAAAGAACTCCTAGTTAGCGGTTTCCAAGCTATAGTACTCGTTCTCTTTAACGATCTCGAGGACGGTGGCCACCTTTCTTACACGGATATTTCCAAAGCAACGGGGCTCGTCGATGGCGAATTAGAACGAACTCTTCAATCTCTTGCGTGTGCTAAAATTCGAGTCTTGACCAAATACCCCAAGGGTAGAGATGTCAATCACACAGATACATTTACCATTCACCTCAATTTCTCTGACCCGAAATACAGGATCAAGATCAATCAAATCCAATTGAAAGAGACCAAGGAAGAGAATAAAGCAACGCTTGAGAAAGTTGTTCAGGATAGAAGTTTTGAAAGCCAGGCTGCAATTGTTAGGATTATGAAGTCAAGAAAGAAGATGACGCATCAGAATTTGGTAGCGGAGGTCATTAATCAAACGAAAGCGAGAGGTGTTGTAGAACCGGCGGAGATTAAGAAGCAGATTGAGAGTAGGTTTTCATTTTTTCTATTTTTCAAAGTGCTTCTAGAGAAGAACACAGGCTAATGATTTTACGTAGAACTAATTGAGAAGGATTATATCGAGCGGGAAGAGGGCGGCTTTTATACATACTTAGCATAAAGAAGCATGGGGAATCTTTGTGTAGGAGTTCGGGTTGGCTTTATTGGGAATTGAGAGTTATGGTTGGTTGTACATCCAGAGCGATGTTTGGTTGAGTATATGAATATATGAATATAAATACCTTGTTTTAATTCAATAAGAGCAACATCTTACCCCGAACTTTTGTCGTGAGGAATATGTGGCATGAGAGTTCTTGTATAAAACCTGAGTAATAGATTCTAATATGATTCATTTGTCGATTGGGTGTTACGAGTATATTTGTACTCGTAGAATACAAAGGATTGTTATAGTCGGTTGGTCGGAGGTTGTAGATGGGAGGTTGGAGGTTGTAGTATGTAGTATGTAGTATGTAGGTTGGATGGGATGGGATGGGATGGGATGGGTTGTTGGGTTGGATTAGGTATACAAACGGTAAGGTTAGTGTTCTATAATTATATATATATACATGCAGGGAGGGAATCAGGTTTACGTATGTAGGGAATTGGAATTAGATTAATCCATCGTGAAATATTTAGATTTAGATTTACATGTACATATATATCGTATATCGTATAGTACTCGGAATCAGAAGCTCTCACCATTATCCACATCACTACTTACTTTCACCAGCTAGCTAGCTGTATGTGTATTCGATTCTTTCCTTGCCTTGCAATTGTCTGGCCTCCTTAGCTGAGAACGTTTGAGGAAATCGAGATGGATTATGGATGGTCCGCGAGAGAGAGAGAGAGATAAAGAGCGCTATAAGGATAAGTAAGGATAAAGACTGGACTGGACTGGACTGGTAGGATCTTCGAGATTGAGGTTGGGATTGAGATTGAGATTCCTGATTTCGCTATGGTCTTGAGTCTTGATGCGTTTTTTTTTCGATGGTTATTGCTTCTCTGTCTGTACATGTTGATCTTATGTTTTATAACGATAATGTTTGGGGAATTGGTGGGACAAGGGTTGAATGATGGCATCGTCTAAGGTTATAACTTATCTGTATTATCTGCCACTGACATTGTGACGAAACGAAAAGATGTTTCTACAGGATGAAGGGGGATTCTGGAGGCTTTGGTTGGGGTCCATAATGTTGATGTGCGGTATTTATATTTATATTGAAGGAGATGAAATGAGATTTTGGTTCAGAGGTGGTTAATGATGTGGAGGTTAGTATTAACCCGTGACCGGATCAGTGAAGATAGTTCCTCTCTTAGAAACTAAGTAGGTGTGATGTCACAGGTTCATGCTCCTGAAATTGTCTTGAAGCTATTGAATTTATATCAAGCAAATCAAGATATTGCAGATGACGCCTTGTGTACGCTTCATTTGTTTATAACATTTTCCTAGGCTCACTATTCAACTACTCTGAAAAAAAGAGAGAGAGAGAGATGCGCTGCGGCATATCAGATTAAGAAATCAGAAATCTAAGAAAATGATTCAAGGATCTCTAGTATCCCGAAAACTTTTTCACTACTCTGTTTCTCCATGGATGTCGTAGAGAATGGCCACGGACCCGGGGGGCTAGGAGGTAATGAAATCCTTCAAGGAAACCGACAATGGAAGGAATATCATAATCATAATCACAACCCATTCCATCAAAATATCGTGGTCAATAGACCCAAAGAGATATAGATGAAGAAAAGAAGACTGTCTACTGAGACAGCCATTGGAACAGTGTCCTCCAGGTCTCTCTCGTACAGTACGAAGTGGTACATGAAGGAACGTTTGTATCATGTGTACGGAGGATCCAAACAAAATAAACACGTTCCCCTCTCAATCCAACACAATACGACCACAATTTACAATCCAATATTGCTTCCTCGAAACAATACGAGATTATTCCATTGTGACTTCAATGTTGGTTCGTCAATGCTGGTCTACTGTAGCAAAGGGTGGGTGTGGAAATTGACAAAAAATTCTTCAGGCCTCCCGTCCAGACCAGACCAGATCAGACCATGAAGATGGATGGGTCACAGTTGTTGATATTCAATAATTCGAAAGGTCTTTTTCTCTCTCTTATGGATTTAGAATGAGGCAAGATCGCAACTCCAGATCGAAATACGATTGAAGCTAGTCTCCTTCCTTAGTATTAGACTTGTCGTCGTGTTTGTATTTGTACTGTATTTCGTTAATTAGATAGATTTTCAGAGGAAATGTCATGGTAACCTTCAACGATATCTCACACTCGAATTTCGATTCCAAAAATCTATATATACCAGTAATATCATGAAGCTTATTCGACTGTTTTGAATAATGGCAAAAATGTATTAGAAATTTCATTGCATGAATTTGTCAAAATTAACGTTAATATGAGTGTGTGTTCGGAGGATATATAGGTATATATAAGGCCGGACCAGCACCTAGGCATTTTCATAGCCCCGGGCTTTTCCCACCCAACCCACCTGGAAGTTGCTATTCTTTCATCACTTGAGTAAAGATTAAGATTGTGTAATTCTAATAAATCCTATGATTTTTAAGATACTACTGTAGTAGTAAAAGCTGAACCAAAAAACACAATTCTTGCGAGTGATATCAAGTAAAATCCACTATTCTCCATTTTTAGTACCGTCAAATCCTTGGCTCCAGATCCTACATCCGGATCATGAACAACCAAATTCCCATCTGAATCTATCTCGTCTGATTCATCAGTCAAGTGAATCAATTACTTGTATGTCGATTGGCTTACACACATATAATAAGTATATGACAGCGCTCTTATACGAAGAAAACTGTTGGTGGTTAATTTTTTCTACAAGTAAGGTTACTGTAATCCATACAAACCATGTAAACGTGCTCATGGTGCGACACTAAAAAGGGGCAGCCGCCGAAGAAATCGTTCTACTCGGTTCAAACAATACCACATCAAAAAATGATTCGAAACTGCCAGCATCATGCAAATGTCAAAGAGCAGCGATAACTCAACTACAACCTGTGCTCGGCCAATTAAGTGCTATGGCAACTCTTCCTCGTCCAGTGATTGTAGTGAAGATCATGTCAAACTTGGACAAACATCCCGATGTAGTTCAGTCGCAGCGTTGCTTGACCACATGGCATGGCCAGAGGAGGGGAGCAATCCAAACACAGTACTGGTTGTGTGGAACACAAGTGCTTCGCCATGTGAGACGATCCAATGATTGTATCTAAATCTATACATTCATTGTGAAGTGTGGTTGAACGACCTGGATGACGCCGCTATTGAAGCTGGTGCTTCCATATACTTCAACATCCTCCCAGGATTGACTGGCATGTAGTCAATGCTGTGTCTTCTCTTAAGAAGGTTGTTATAGTTCTGATTATCTACTTTCCATATCAGATGTTCTTTTGACTTTCTCTTCCTTTTTGTTTTGTACGTCATTCTTTGCCTTTGACCATTCCTTCATAGGAAACAGCCACTCTTTTACGCCCAATATCTCTTGTTTCTTGAATGCAAGTCGTTCAACGGCCCAAATCCCTACATCGATTGACCTCAAGTGGTGGCTACAAGCCTGTTGATAAAGGTCGGAAGACTCAATTTCTTTTGGACTGCCTTTCGGTCATAGTGACATACTTCAACTACACTTGAAAATTTCGACAATCATTTTATACATTTGTCATTCAACGTTCAATACCACCCCAAAAAACTCTGCCATTCCAAGATTCTGGAGCCACATATCGATCCGCTTTCATCGTCTGGGCTACTCATATAAACCGTCCATTTGAAACGCAAAACCTCGAAAATTGACAGCAAGCTCGAGCACAGTCCGTGCTTCATCGATTCCGATTTCTCTCCCAAGGACCCAGATCGACCTATAGGCTTTCGGACCTCTTCTTAGAATATTGTTGGCTTTTATACTGGTATAATCGATAAAAGCTGTGCTCATCGCGGTTGTTTTTCTCATCTTGTCTTTCTTTTCTTAATACATTCATTAATTGTCGACCTGTGGGGCATTACTAAAAGGAATCCGTGTTTCTTCAAGCTATTCATATATCACACATCGCATATTGATATTTAAGATATCTATCTACTGGGCATTGTACAATCACAGTAACAAACAAGCTATATAATAATATTTCATAATGGGGTGGTTTGGAAACCAAGATTTGTCTGCCAAGTTTGGGTAAGTTTCTCGAGAATGACCATTCATACGTATGCCTAATGAATACTCTGCAGCATTGTACTTGGTGGTTCGATTTTCGTTGTACTCGTTGCTGGCCTGTTAAAAGTATGGTACAATAAAAGAAGGTAAGACAAAACATCCTGAATCAAACGACTTGACTTAACATTCATGCTAGGCTTGCGAAAAATATAAAAATTGAGGAAATTGAGAAGGCAAACAGCACCCAGGAGAGACTTAACATAGAGGACCTCGGTGAAGGCGATCTCTTTGGCATTCGAGCAATCGAAAGAGGCTTCTTTGGGGGTGTCTCACAGTCGAGAAGCAATTCTCCGGCCCAGTCGATGTTCGGGCCACCTTCAACAACTGTTACAGACTTGTTAGAGCCTCCCAGAAATGTCGAGTCTGTTAGAGATTCGTCAACAGCTAGCAGTAGCAGTAGTCTATCGAGACGTTCAGTGGAAATTTCCGCCCCCAAATCTATCAAGCATAAGCCTAAACCTCTCCGTATCCAACCTTCTGATGCGGAGATCAGACGCTCTGCAATGCCTAATGCCGGGGGCTCATATATACCACCATCACCAATGAAGGAGGCTCAGTCACAATCAAACCTACTTGACGTTAATTTCAGCAGACCTTCGGTTTTGGAGTCTCCTCCCATTAGATCTTATTCGGATGAGGAGTTATCCCAATTACGATACCAGGGCGATGTCCCACGCAATTACATGTTTCTAGCAGGTCAACATTCGACCGTTAGATCCCAAGCAGGTTCAATATACGGCAGTGCCGAATCATCACCAAATAACCCAGCCAACGTTCTGAAAATTCCCACACCTCCAGCTCCAACCCACGTATTTGGTTTTTCCCCTCGACATTCCCATCGATCACGATCACGCTCTACCACTCCAGAAGGACTCTTCAATAATCGTTCTTCTTCTCGATCCCCCGAATTACCAGTCCCATCCATCCCATCCCCATACAAAACCTCATATCAACCTACCACCTTCCTCGAAGAACCAGACACCAAATCCAAACGTCGCTCTTACCAACCCACCCACCCCTCCGAACCTCACTCCGAATCAGAACTCCACACCCATCATCGCGAACCCAGTCTCGCCACCTCAACCCTCACAACCCGAACCTCGATCTTAGACGAACCATTCACATACACATCCACAACCACAACCCGTCCCCGCGGCCGTACATCCCACCAACACACGCGCTCCAATTCCTCCACCACCCACACCACCCAACACACCCACGGCCAAATATCACGCACCCACGACTCTCTCCGCATCTCGCGCAAATCGACTCCCGGGAAAGTTCAAGTTCAAGTTCAAGGGCAGGTTCAGGGGCAAGGGCAAGGGCGCGAAAATCGCCACTCCAGAGATCGAGATCAGCTACACTATGATCCCACATCTGGGCCTTCGGCCCGCACGAGATCGGGTGGTGTGAAGGGCCGCGCAGTCGATTTTGATCGGCCTAGGAAAAGTCCGTTTAGTAATTCGAATGCGATTTCTGGACAGGGAATGGGACAGGGGAGCGTGAAGAGTCATGCGAGTAAAGAGAGTTTCTCGAGTGCGAGTACGAGTAGTGCGGAGTCGAGTTGGAGTGAGGGTGAGGTGGGTGACGTGGAAGAGATGGGGTGGAGGAGAGGGGGTGGGGGCGGGGGTGCGAGAGCGGTTGTGGGGGTGGAAGAAACGATAGTGGAGGTTTTGACGCCGATGACGAGTCGGGGGCAGAGGTTTGATGCTAGTGATTTGGTTTGAATTTTGGGGGAAGGATGGCGAGCAAAGGCAAAGGCAAAGGGGATGGGAGGGGTTATATGATTTGTTTGGTTGAGGATTTTACGTTTTATTTATTTATTCATGAGGTGGATTGGATATTTAAAATTTGTATGTATCTATTATTGTGTATTTATACTCGAGTATTAATCATGTACTATATTGTACGATACTATATTAGATGGAAGAAACAGAATATAGGAATAAGGATATTGGACAGGATGGGATTGGATAGGATAGGATGGGCAAAAAAGTTCGAGATAATCAATCAATTTGAGAATTTGAGAATTTGGTTTATAAATTATATATGAGTAGTTGTAGTGAGATGAGAGAGAGAGAGAGAGCTTGGGTTTAGATGTAAAAAGTTGTAATCTTATATCAGTATACGAGTAATGTATACGAGTACCGGTAATGTATAGGAATAATGTATAGATACTACTCGAGTATAGATATAAATGTAGTTGTAAATGTCCTGTTTTATTATGCCTTGCTTGGTATGTCTGTATTGTATGTGTATACAGCGGATATAAATACTAGTATTATATAGGATATGAATTAATGAATGAATGGGTAAATGAATAATTTGACACAAAATAGTGAAGTGAGGTAAATGCTTGAGAGAGCGGATAGTGGGAAAGAGATGGGAGGAGGGGGTAGGGGGGGCAAAATGAAGCGGAAGCGTAACGCAAGTTTTATGAATGATATATGAGGGGATGTGTGGGATAGCGGGGGTTTTTTGGAGGGAGTTTTGGGTCTGGGGAGAATGGTGGGATGGTGAGATGGCGAGGCGAGCTGGTGAGTGTGAGTGTGAGTGCGAGTGTTGTCATACTTGTATTGTGGAGTTGGGGGGGAGGAAGGTGAGCGGTTTGGATATGTTTGTAGTTGAGGGTTGGGGGGGTTGGGTTTGAAGGAGTTAGAGGGGTGAATATTGTTTTGGAGGTGAATGGAGTTGGGGGTGTAGTTGTAGTTTGGGGATGGGGATGGGGATGATCTGTATGGATGGAAGGAGCAGGTTGGGCTTGGGCTTGAGATGGGTGTAAGTGTGGGAGTGAGGGGTGAGAGTAAGAAGATGAGGAAGGACAATGGGATGGGAGTACTGGTATGGATGTAAGTGATGGAATGAGAACCTTAATTGCCAGAACTGTTACAAAGTTTTCACACATATGCATATCCAAACTTCGGATGAGAACAATCACAGTATGGGGACTCCAAGTGGGATTGATGGGATGATGGGATGAGACTTGGCGATATCTTATAACCAGGTTGTATTGGTATCTAAACTCTAGATTTCGTTGGAGAGTCTGATTGATACAAAGAGAAAATGAAGGAGAGTTCGAAAAATTAGAGGTTGTGCTGCCTATCAGAGGATTGTGATATGGATCTGTTGAGAGCTGGGTATGGAAATCTAATTAAAGGATTCGGATTGCATGAGGTAAGGTAAGCTGTAAATTATTAGGTTGAGGAAGTAGTGAATATTGTGACAAGTTTAATCATTGGAGAAGCAGATATTGAGAGGGAATAAAATGATTTGGATGAGCTTGAGATTGAGCTGAGTGCTTCTCAGTTCTGACAGTATCACCATACGGCTTGCACCGATCAATTAAGTGTAGTTCGAGGTACGACTATCCTGAGTCCTGACCTTATGAATACCTGTAATTTTGTAGGTAGAGGAGTTCGCAACACGATTGCCTTCACCGACGTCATGAAATCAAATCCTTTGCATTCAAGAGTAAGATTAAAGGTAGCCCAATGGCAAAGTACTTGATTCAAATATCCAGGGTCAACTTTCAGCCGGTCGTTCCTGTGGAATATCCGAATAGTCTGCCGGCTGGCGAAGTAAGTGTATTATTAAAGATAGGTGTTGAATACGATACAAGGATCCATCGAATCGGTGTGCGCGAGAAATCACCAATGGACCACATCGTAATTGCGGATTCTCTACGGTTTCTCTACGGATTCAAACAGTTCAAGCGAGCAGGCTCAAAAAGCTTTCAGGTGACCTGTAGATCAAACAGTTTCCACCCTTGCTTTGTCGCTCCGAGAGACTTCTCTCGGAGCGACTTACTTGCACTTAAGCAACTTTTTAGAAGACTGCAGTCTGCAGTAGATCTTCTTCGGCCGCTAGCCAACTTGGCTGAGCTTGATTTGATAATACCGAAGCTTTTGGAGCTCTAAAAGTCTAAACATCACACTAGTCAGCATTAAATTATGCTTAAGATATTGATCGAAATTTGAATACGGATGTAGGGTTTATAAGTGGTTCTTTGGAAACTTCTACCCCTGTGGTAACTCTGTAAGAATGATAACGGTTAAATTCGACTTTTCATGCTCCAATCATAATTGATTTGTAAGCAAAGCTATCGCATGTTATTCTCCCGCAAACCTAAAGGATTCTCTGATATATATCGATACAACAAACAGCAAATTGAATTGCAGTTAACAGCTTCTAAACACCTTGGCATCAATATATCCGAGAAAGACCTTCTTACTTGGAAAGAGTGTTAATACGGATTATCAGAATACTGTAGTACATACGGATGGATAGCTTTGATACCAGTCTCTGGCACCACAGTGGCACCTTCGTACTTTTCCGCTCAATAATCTTCTTTCCCCTGAGTCGGCTACTTGGCATTGTCAGAAATCAATACGAGAAAACCATGCCTCTTCTCATAGGAACGAATGATGGAGGCTCGGATTTGCTATTGGCTACCCCTAGGTAATTCTGAGGAAAAAGCAAGCTACTGTACAACAAGTGACAACAACCCAACAGGCTTTAGTTACACGGTACCTGCCAAGAGAATCAGAATTACAAGGATATATGATAGAATTCATTGAATATAGCCCAAGTGGGCAAGCTCAAAATCTCGTGTTCCAATCCCGAAGTGTTTTTAAATAGTCTTCCGCCTTGATCCTACTCTACCCTAGATGCTTGACTGATTTTCGTACATTTCTCTTTCATTCTTAATTCCATCCTGCCGCACCTTTTGAAAAAGACACACACATTCGTTTTTCTACTACTCCTTCATACATTTACTCAAAATCTCGTCCATCGTTAGTGACGATTTATTCTTATTGACATTCGTTATCATCAAATTTATTAATTCACCTCCAAAACCAAACCAAACACTTCACAATGGCTCGTTACGCTTTCGCTCTCGCCGCGCTCATCGCAATTGCTCAAGCTATCAACATCACCTCTCCATCTACCAACGGAGAATGGGATCTCAGCAAAGGTGCTCAAACCATCACCTGGACTTCAGTCTCCACCGATCCTACCACCGTCGATATCTACCTCGTCCACATGGCATCCAACCCACCTCTTAGTGATAAACTTTTCACCAACGTCGATATCACCAAGGGATCCGAGAGCGTGTCCAACCTCCAATTGCCAACCGGTGGCAACTACCAAATCAACTTTGTCAGCCCAGATAAGCCAGAGCAGATCTTGGCTCAATCTCAACAATTCACCGTCAATGGAGTAGCTTCCAGCGCAAGCAGCACTCTTGCAGGTTACACTGGTGCGTCATCTACTTCCTTTTCCGCTTCTTCTACCTCCTCCTCCACCTCCTCCTCTGCATCTTCCAGCAGTTCGAGCGCCTCTTCTTCTTCCTCTTCCACCGGAACTAGCTCGCTGACCTCGACCTCAGGTTCTGCTTCTGCTTCCACCTCTACCTTCACCTCCACCGGCGTCTCAACTACCGTTACTGGTACATCCACCTCTACCGAGTCCGCATCCAGCACTGGAACTGGCTTGGTTACCTCAGCCTCAGCTGTCAAGGCTTCCAGCAGCGCATCTTCCTCTGGAACCTCCACTGCTTCTGGCAATGGTGCTGCCGCTACTGGTATCCCCATGATTGGTCTTTTGGCCGGTGCCGCTGCTCTTTTCTTGTAAAGGATAAGAGTTCCTAGATCAAGAGATGGATAAAGAGAAAAATGATTTCGCGAGCCGATGGTGTAATGATGGATACCCGCGGGGTAGGGGAGTAGGGGACAGGATAAGGTGTATTGCGTTTGGATATTGAAAATCGGATTTTTTTTGTTACATCAGCTCTACTTCATGAATATGTTTCAATGTGTATTGTGATGATGTGCGGAGAATCCGTATGATGGAATGCATACGAACAAAAATAGCTACCTATAGATTACCTTTTCACGAATTTTCGTGTAATGGAACAACATTAATTTCTTAACTTCTCTCTCTCATTACCAGTACAGTACTCAGTAACAACAAACAGTATCTCCTCCGAATCCAAACAACCTAGACAAATTTAATTACTAATATTTCTCTTCAATTTTCACAATCCTTCCACACATCACATCAAAAACTTCCCACTTCAACTTCCTACAAATACCAATTTCACAAAATCCCCCTCCTCCCCCCCTCCCCCCCCCTACCTAACCTTCCATCGGTAATCTCCCCTTCGTATCAGTGACTTTCCTCTTTCCTCAATGCACTCTAGCGAAAAACCCGCATGGCTCCACAATCACGAGGAGAAAAGAACAAATCACGGAGTATAAGATTATGATTCCATATGATTTTAAAAGATTGTAAAACTGGAGTATAGGCAGGTACTGTACCCATAATTTTTGACAACTGGGCCATTAGAGGTCTGCCTTTGGCAACTTTTTTAAAGAATTCTTTTAAAGTATCGCTTATATTATTATTATTATTATTATTATTATATAGGCTGGCCCTAGTTCTCCTCTGGCTAATAAAGCAAGTCGAGCTAGATTAATTGGATCATATACCCTTTTCAGGTTATTATGGTTCATTTTATGCCCCTTTCATTGAAAAATGAAACCAGGTAATCATTCAATGGGTATCGATAAGGTTCTGATAGGATACTTCCAAGCAAGCTCTTCAAGCCCGAGCCCGAGCCAGGGTATCCGATCACTCAAGGCTTCAGAATCTAAAAAAATTGCTAAAGACCTATATTTAATTTAATTTTTAACCATAAGTCGTATCGGTGGGGGCGTGACACCGGGCACGATAGCTCGTCGAAGGGAATGGAAATTTCGAAATTTCCACATGGTATGTATGGTATATGGTTTGGTGAGTTTAAATTTGTTTTTCTGGTTGGGGGGAAAAGTGGGAGGGGGGCTATTGTACTGGTGCAAAATACGATGCGGTTTGATATGAAAATGGAAGAGGGAAGAGGGAAGAGGGAAGATGGAATTTGGAATTTGGAAGATGGAAGTATAAATGAGTGTTGATGGCATTGATACGAATGGGGAAATCCGAAATTAGATGAGGAGAAGTCGCTGTATTTGGTATATTGATTAAGGAATTGCAGTGGTATTTTGTCCTTTGGATCAAATTCTGATTTTACAACATAACATGCATATAAATAGGGCCTGTCTTACCTATCCCGATAAATATTATTATCTGGGAATTCGAAAGGAACACAAGATGCACTGTACGACCGGAATAGGATGGGATGGGATGGGATAAGATAGAGGAGGTACAGAAGGAAGTAGTACGAAAATAAGATTGTATTTAGGGCTGAGAATATTTTTTTTATGAAAAGGAATAATAAAGGGGTGGGTTTTCGTGTATTGGTTGTGTTTAGTTAGATTTGATTTATTTATGAATGTGAGAGTTTTAACGAAGATTTTAATAAAGATTGCTTTTGAATTTTGTATTTCTTGCTATTATATTAGACTTTAGGCTTTGGGTTGGGCTTTGGGAATTCAAACCTGGTTCATAATACTACTTGTAGCGGGAGGATATATAAATTCTCGACGGCTGGGTAAACAGGATATCTTCCTTGATCGAAATAATAATATCATTTTTTATCTGAAGGATTCTATGAGCCAGTGTTTATATCTATCTTGAGAGATATCTACTTTTGATTAGTGTCAAATTAAATATACTCTAGAGTCAAGATCGTTTCACAATGTCAGCTGGTATGCTGTCTAAGAATTACCAATATGGCGATGATTGAATTATTGGCTTATTCTTCAAAAAGGATTGATCCCTTACGATTCCTTTGTGTTTTGATCTATGTTGAGTATTCTTATGCTATACAAATATATACTAGTATATGGATTATGGTATTTGCAGGAGCCTGAGATGGAATCCTCTTTATGAACATTTTTTATCAAGTAAACATAGGAATTTATACTCTTGATGCTTCATATCAAGATGCTATATCAAAGCCACGAACGGATATAGTTATGATTTCAAATTCAAGGCATGTCAAGATTATACATATTACTATTAGAGGAAAGATAGCTTCAAGAAATTAATGTGTATTCTCTAGGGTTTATTCCGGGCAGGGTATCCGGAGGTTTTTGGAAGTTTTTGAAGTTTGAACAAGTCTCTTGTGATAAATATCTTCTTCTTTAATTTAGATTTTGATATCTGAGGGATTATATGAATTTCAAGTTTAAATGGATTCGATCTTTCAAATGATTCATTCCATCAAATGAATTGAATCTTTCATATAAGTCATAACTCTCAGAAAGATTGAATCTTCAAAAAGAATTCAAATATGAAAGATTCTTGTCTAAAGAACTCCGGATTGACTACTATATCAGGATTCAGACAGAGTCTTAACTCTCATCCCAAGTGCAATAACGGTAATACCTCGGAGTTGAGATTCAATAGCAGTAATATTCAGATAATGACAATAACACCAATTTTGATTCGACGATAAATATAAATATACACTGCGGTGCAAAATATCGAGAAATGTCATTCATTGATCTGCTATACTCGTACAACTTTAAGACGACATTCGAAATATTACATTACTGATTCAATTTTCCTTTCTTGCCTGACCAGAACGAATATTTAAACTGTACATATATCTAGTCCCAGTCTGCAAATGTGTTCTGGAGTGTATCTAGCTCTACAGTAGTTCAGAAATGTGTTTTGGAGTAGAGTAGACTCTAGTACTTTTGAACTTTCTAAGCCTTGAAGGAATTCGAAGAGAAGAAGAGTTAAAAGAGTTGAAGACTAGTCAAAACTAATCGAGACTTTACTTATTCATCTACGACTTCTCTTCGAGTTATACAAGTACGCATCTCTAAGTCAACTACCCTACTTTCGGGCCACCCTTTCACACCAAAAACAGTGATTTTCGAATATTCACAATTCTATCAATATTGAATCTAATTAAATGAAATTTTGAATATAGATTCTATATATAGTTATTAGCTCAGTTATAGTTTTTTAGATTTTTAAAAATTTTATATAAAAAGTTATTAAAGTTTAAAAATCAAGGTTTTCATTTTATATACGATTTATATACAAATTTCAAAATATTCTAAAAATCTTAATAACTGTTTAACAAAAATAAATAAAATAAATTTATAATTTTTATATAATATTTGAACGTATATTATTATAGAAGTCAAATTTAATTTCAATAAAATTGATGTTT